GAGAGACTAAGGCCGCGTGAGTTCGTCGTACCAAATGGGCGAATCTCATAGCGCAAGGGTGTCCTTGCTCGTTAGAATCATATAGCATGAAATCATCATCAAGTACAATCATTAGGATCATGTATGACATCAATCACGTATCATAATCATCATCTTGAATATATATGCTATATTATGTTATATCATGAATAATTGTATGTCTACTTGCTATTCAATTTGGAATTGTTGTACTAGCGTATTCCTCAGCTGACGTTGAGCGTGTAGTTTTGTTTTACTTGCTACACGCAGGTAACGACACTGGTCATGGAGCCCATCCCGGAGGTCAATGAGAGTGAAGAGATGTACGGACTAGTGGACCACTTTTGTGATGCTTTAATTAAATAAATACCTTTTCGGGCGAGTACCCAGAAAATGTAAAACAATTTGATTATGTTTTATATTTAAACTTCCGCACTGTTTCAGCAATACTCTGAATTTAATATTTGAAATTATCATTTATATTAAAGTTTAAATTGGATTTAAATTATTCCTCAAATTATTATACGTATTTACCTTCATGGTAACTACTCCGGCTCGAATAATCTAGGTAATTGGGTTATTCGAGTTGGGGTGTTACATTTTGGTATCAGAGCATGCGATCTAAAAAAAATGATTTTGGAAATCAAATCAAAAGAGTTTTAAACACAAGTCCGCATCTCTCCACATCTCTGCCCGGGAAGGTAAAACAATTAGTTTACTTATGACTAATCACATTTTAAATTAATTATAGAATGAGTCAGGACTCGACTCACGGTCAGGCAAACCCTCACGCGGAGCCTGAGCACGTTAGTGTGCATACGGTGCACATTGAAGCATCCAGTTACGTGCCCCAGCAGCCGCAGCCTCAGCCGGAACCTCAGCCAGTTCCGGAGCAGTTCGCGGGTCAGAACCCGAATTTAGCCATTCCAATGTTCCAACCGCAAATGGTTGCGAACATGTTCCAGTTCTTCCAGCAGATGGCGGGAGCGCACGTACCAGCACCACCTCCTCCTGCACCCATTGTCTCGATTGAAAAACTCAAGAGGAATGGGGCGCAGGAATTCTGTGGCGACCAGATAGCGGACCCTCAAATAGCCAAGCGTTGGCAAGAGCGCACGGTGAGGGTACTAGAGAATTTGAAGGTACCTGTCGAGGATTGGGGACAGCACGCCATATCCCTATTGCAAGATGCCGCCTATGATTGGTGGAAAAGAGTGGGCGCCAACATTCCCGTGCCAGTACCATGGACTACCTTCGAGCCACTCTTCAGAGCCGAGTATGTGCCCGATCACTACGTCGAGGCCAAATATGAGGAATTCTCCAATTTCACTCAGGGGAAGCTGACTCTCCCCGAGTACCGTCAGCAATTTGACGGATTGGCCGAGTTTGGTAAAGACTTGGTCAACACCATGGAGAAGCGCTGCAAAAAGTTCATCAAGGGTATGAGACCAGACCTGTCGTCAACACTCATAATTGCTCCCCGAGCCGACATCAACGATGTCTATAAGAAAGCTCTTGAGCTGAACGAGGAGCTCATCAGGAAAGCTGCGTATGAACAGGCACTTTTGGAAGAAAGTCGGACCGTCCAATCAGGCCCGAAAATGGGACATGGTAGCAAGAGGACCTTCTCCGCGCCGAGCAACTCTCGCCATGATAAGCGAGCGAAATCTACTCCCTCTACATCTGTGGCCGTCACTAGTAAGAGCGGGAAGGAGAAGATGACATACCGTAATCCAGTATGTTCACACTGTAACCGCAGACATGCTGGTGAGTGTTGGTTCATACAGGGTCTTTGCCTCGGGTGTGGTCAGGCAGGTCACTTTCGGAACGAATGCCCGGTGAATCCAGGCAAGGCTATCTCCACTGGACCAGGCACACCGACTGCTCCTACTGTCCGAAGGGCCGAGCCTACCCAGAGTCATCGTTCCACAGCCGCGTCCAACCAACCAAAGAGGCCCGCAACTAGTCAGCAGCAGGGACGAGCACCAGCTCGTACGTATGCCATGCAAGGGCGTACAGATCCACAGACCAATGATGTCATCATAGGTATGTTCACTTTATTTGATATCACTGTATTTGCTTTGATTGACCCTGGATCTACCTTATCATATATATGTGTACCTATGCCTGTTACATCTGACGTCACTAAGGAAACTCTTGAGTATCCGGTAGTTGTGTCGAACCCACTGGGACACAGTCTGCGTCTCCAACATGTCTATAATCAATGTCCGTTGATGGCTCAAGGAAGAATATTCTTGGTCGATCTCATTGAACTCCCTGACAAGGAGTTTGACGTTATACTTGGCATGGACTGGTTGGCAAAACACCAGGCTATTGTCGAGTGCAAGGAACGAGTGGTGAAACTTCGTACAGACGACGACAACGAGGTGATCATTCGGGGAGAACTTCTACCAAAAGCTCCCGAATTCATCTCTTATATGCAAGCAAAACGGCTCATTCGCAGGAAATGCGAAGCATTCTTGTGCACTGTTAAGGATATACGGAAGGAAACACCTAATCATAAGGATATATCTGTGGTTTGTGACTTTCCTGATGTATTTCCTGAGGAACTTCCAGGTCTACCTCCTCCGAGAGGAGTAGAATTCTCTATTGATCTTGTACCTGGTACTGGACCCATCTCAGCATCACCTTATCGAATGGCCCCTGCAGAAATGAAAGAATTGAAAGCCCAACTGCAGGAGTTATTAGATAAAGGCTTCATTCGTCCTAGTGTTTCCCCGTGGGGAGCACCTGTTCTTTTCGTCCGTAAGAAAGATGGATCGATGAGATTATGCATCGACTACCGCCAGCTGAACAAAGTGACGATCAAGAACCGTTATCCGTTACCTCGTATTGATGATCTGTTTGATCAATTACGAGGTGCGACCGTTTTCTCAAAGATTGACCTCAGATCCGGTTACCATCAGATCCTTGTGAAACCAGAAGACATTCCTAAGACGGCTTTTCGTACACGTTACGGACATTATGAATTTACCGTTATGCCCTTTGGCTTAACAAATGCACCAGCCGTATTCATGGATCTCATGAATAGCGTTTTCAGACAGTATTTGGATCATTTTGTTGTGGTCTTCATCGATGATATTTTGGTCTACTCAAAAACACCAGAGGATCATGCTGAACATTTGCGCATCGTGCTGAGTATATTGAGGGAGCATAAACTCTATGCCAAACTTTCTAAATGTGAGTTTTGGCTGAATGAGGTCACTTTTCTCGGTCACGTGATTTCTGCGGAAGGAGTCAAGGTTGACCCATGCAAAATTTCAGCGATCACCGAATGGAAAACTCCACGCAATACCCGTGAGGTACGGAGTTTCCTTGGACTCGCTGGTTATTATCGTCGCTTCGTGAAGGACTTTTCTCGAATCGCCACACCACTTCATAAACTGATGAAGAAGGATGTCAAGTTCGCTTGGACAGAAGCTTGTCAGAAAAGCTTCGAACAGTTGAAAGAATGTTTGACTCAGGCACCTGTGTTAGTCCAACCGACACCTGGTACTGAATACACAGTTTTCAGCGACGCATCACATCAGGGCCTTGGGTGTGTACTGATGCAGGAAGGCAAGGTCGTGGCTTATGCATCACGACAGCTGAAGCCCCATGAATGCAATTATCCGACTCATGATTTGGAGCTAGCAGCTGTTGTTCTTGCTTTGAAGATCTGGAGACACTACTTATACGGCGAGACGACTCGCATATTCACCGACCACAAGAGTCTACAGTATTTGATGAGCCAAAAGGAGTTAAACCTTCGACAGAGAAGGTGGCTAGAGTTGATTAAGGACTATGACTGTCACATCGCTTACCATCCCGGTAAAGCGAACGTGGTAGCCGATGCTCTTAGTCGTAAGACTCTTGCTGAACTCCGCATACGACCTACATTTGATTAGGATATTATTTCAGCACAGCATCAGGATATCTTTTGTCTCGAGACACGAGAGCTTGTTTCCAAGGGAGAGAAACAAGACTTCTCAGTTCAAGATGATGGTACACTATACTATCGGGATCGTTTGGTAGTACCATCAGGAGATGTGAGGGATCGCTTATTGCGTGAAGCTCACGGAACCGTGTATACCATGCATCCCGGAAGTAACAAAATGTTCCAGGACCTGAAGAGACACTATTGGTGGTCAGCTATGAAAAGGGAGATCACCGAATTCACATCGAGATGTATGACTTGTCAGCAAGTCAAAGCCGAACATCAGGTACCTACAGGACTTCTGCAGCAAATCACTATTCCTGAGTGGAAATGGGACCGCATTACGATGGATTTTGTGATCGGATTACCATTATCTCCAAGGAAGAATGATGCAGTTTGGGTTATTGTTGATCGTTTGACAAAATCGGCGCATTTCTTACCAATTCGGCGAGATTTTACACTACAGCGTCTGGCGGAGCTGTACATTCACGAGATTGTCAGACTACACGGAGTACCATCATCCATCATATCAGACCGCGATCCTCGATTCACTTCCCAATTTTGGAAGAGCTTGCAGAAAGCTCTCGGTTCCAAATTACATTTCAGCACGGCTTTCCATCCTCAGACTGACGGACAGTCTGAGAGGACTATTCAGATTCTCGAAGATATGATGCGAGCATGCGTCATTGATTTTGGAAACAATTGGGAAAAATATCTTCCTCTGATGGAATTTGCCTATAACAATAGTTATCAGGCAAGTATTGAAATGGCTCCGTATGAGGCACTGTACGGAAGGAAATGTCGTACACCAGTTTGTTGGACTGAATTGAGTGAGAGAAAACTCGAAGGTCCAGAACTAGTGCGCGAAACAGAGGAAAAAGTTCAGTTGATCAGAGAAAGACTTCAGATAGCAGCAGACAGACAGAAATCTTATGCAGACCTCAAGCGACACGATATCGAATATGCTGTTGGTGATCGGGTATTCTTGAAGGTTTCTCCTTGGAAGAAGGTTTTACGTTTTGGCAAAAAGGGGAAACTCAGTCCGAGGTTTATAGGCCCATACAAAGTTATAGAACGTGTGGGACCTGTAGCCTACAGGTTGGAATTACCACCAGAGCTAAACAAGATTCATGATGTGTTTCATGTGTCAATGTTGAGGAGATACAGATCAGATCCATCTCACATTATTCCAACAGAGACAGTCACTCTTGATGAGAATCTTTCCTATGAAGAGGAACCTGTAGAGATTCTGGCACGAGAAGTTCGAGTATTGAGGAACAAGACTGTACCCTTAGTTAAGGTGCTTTGGAGGAGTCACTCTATCGAAGAAGCAACCTGGGAAACTGAGGAGTCTATGCGATCTCAATATCCACAACTTTTCACCGACCAGTGATCAGGTAATTTCGAGGACGAAATTATTTTTAAGGGGGAGAGAATTGTGACGCCCCGAAATTAGGCCTAAAAGAATTAATTAAATTAAATATTAATTAATGACTGAGACAGACCCGAACACTGAAAAATTAAAGTTTTCAGAAAAATATTTTAATTATATCAAAATTTTAGTCTTGACAGTTTGATTCCAAATATGCAATCCGTTTTCAAATTGGAACAGTTTGGGCGAAAAAGCGTGTACCGTTTTAGTCAGTTTATCAGTTACGGAGTAGGAGAATAAATTTGATTCCCCAAAACCTCCAAGTCACGTAGAGACACCCCCATCCATTCCAATCCTCAATCAAACCAACCCAATTACCACATACCTCCAATTACTTCTCCCTATAATATCACCCCACCACCACCATCATCATCCTCACACATTATCACCATCATCCATCCATCATTCATCCCCTCCCCATTCTCTCTCTCTCTGTCGGCAGAAACTCAGGAGGAAGAATACCCAAAAATACTCCATTGTTGAGCCAAGGAAGAAGAAGGAGAAACAAGAAGAGGTGTCAAGGTTCCCAAATCTTAAGCTCAAAAACGCAGCATCAACTTCTTCGTAAATTCTGTAATTTTCTATCCATTTTCTCAAATTGTTTATTATACCAAAATCGTAGCCCCGGACGTTACGAATCCAACCCAACAAACGGTTCGTGATTTCGTTAAGTATCGAAGGAGATATGGCCAAAATACCGGGACTGCTCCTGTGGTGGCGGGCTCCTCGGGTTGGCCATGTTTCTTCATCATTTTCACATCGTTTCTTTCCAATTTCTCACCGTCAACTCTCTCGTGGTTATTAGGAACTTCCGGAGATTAATTCCAAGAAGATTGAACGTCGGAAGCTCGAAGTTGATAAGGGCGACCGTACGTTGAACGTTCGTTGAGGCGTATTATTATTTTTCTATCATTTCCATCCTCTACGATATCAAGGCGAGTACATTGCACCTTAGTAACGCAATCCTTGGTTGAATATCAATCTAGATATATCGTTAGGATTGATTGCCATATTATAAGTCATTTATGCTTTCAGATCAAACTCATTAAACTCATAAAGTAAAAATATGTTTTTCTTGATACTTCACCTTAAATGAAAATATAAATGTTAAGAATCCTTCAAATACATAGATGTGTTAATCATAAGTGTTAAAATAACTTAAAGAAGTATTTTAGATATCCAAAAATATCAAAAATAGGATTCGTAGACCCGAGCGGTCGACGTAAACGGTCAACCGTTGCGTTAAGAACCGAAACGGAGCAAGACTGTCAGACAAACGGTCGACCGCCGGTGGTCAACGGTCGACCGTCGCCTGCCCAGCCAAGTGCCGCCGTCCACCTCCAGTCAACAACGGTCGACCGCCGATCAACCGCGGTCGACCGTCACGGTGATTCTCCAACCCGACGCGATGAAGTTCAAGGTCGACCGTCGCGCCAAACGGTCGACCGTTCTGAGCCCCGTAGCTTAAATAAATGATATTTTTATCAGATTTCATCCAAATAAAATAAAGTATATTTATCCAATCATGTTGTTTACAAATTGTTCATATCATGTGATTCATTTCATCATCCATATTGAAACATATCACATCATGTGCATGCGCAAGAGATCAGGCGGAAGTGCGTCTCTTGTAGTGTGATGTGCGGGACTTATTAGTCCGACATCACCCGTTCCGGGCTTAGTGTACGTACATGGTATTCAAGTTTCGAGTACCACCCCTACTTTCTAGTCTCCCTCGAGAGACTAAGGCCGCGTGAGTTCGTCGTACCAAATGGGCGAATCTCATAGCGCAAGGGTGTCCTTGCTCGTTAGAATCATATAGCATGAAATCATCATCAAGTACAATCATTAGGATCATGTATGACATCAATCACGTATCATAATCATCATCTTGAATATATATGCTATATTATGTTATATCATGAATAATTGTATGTCTACTTGCTATTCAATTTGGAATTGTTGTACTAGCGTATTCCTCAGCTGACGCTGAGTGTGTAGTTTTGTTTTACTTGCTACACGAAGGTAACGACACTGGTCATGGAGCCCATCCCGGAGGTCAATGAGAGTGAAGAGATGTACGGACTGGTGGACCACTTTTGTGATGCTTTAATTAAATAAATACCTTTTCGGGCGAGTACCCAGAAAATGTAAAACAATTTGATTATGTTTTATATTTAAACATCCGCACTGTTTCAGCAATACTCTGAATTTAATATTTGAAATTATCATTTATATTAAAGTTTAAATTGGATTTAAATTATTCCTCAAATTATTATACGTATTTACCTTCATGGTAACTACTCCGGCTCGAATAATCTAGGTAATTGGGTTATTCGAGTTGGGGTGTTACATCGGGCGTGTAATGCAAAAGGAGAGAAAGGAATTTTATTATTTGTGTTATGTTTGATACAATAAGTCTGCCCTCAATATATAGGAAGACAAGTTCTCCCCAACCCAATAGGAAAAGAAGTCTGCATAAGAAAGAAATCCTAATCAAACTAGGAGTAGTAGAACTCCTTAAGCCGTGTGCCTTGTCCCCCAAGAATCCCAACCGTAACACCCCCCTCAAGCTGGAGCTTGCGGATTTCGAGTGCCCAGCTTGGACAACAAATGATTGAACGGAGCGGCGCCCAGTGGTTTAGTAAAAATATCAGCAGGTTGGTCAGCGGAAGAGATGTGTCCAGTACGGAGGATGCCACGCTGTATCTCGTCACGGACAAAATGGCAATCAGTTTTAATATGTTTGGTGCGCTCGTGGAACACGGGGTTGGCTGCAATATGCAAAGCTGCTTGATTGTCACAAAAGAGAGTCATTGGTTTAGTGTGACGGACGCCAAGAGAAAGGAGCAAGTTATGGAGCCATTTGAGCTCGCAGACAGCAGTCGCCATGGCTCTATATTCGGCCTCTGCTGAGGACCCTGACACGGTCTTCTGTTTCTTCGTGCGCCAAGATATGGGAGAATCACCAAGACAAATATAATACCCGGAGACAGAGCGACGAGTAAGTGGGCAACTCGCCCAGTCGGAGTCACAAAATCCCGTGAGATGAAGAGAGCCTGAGGCCGAGAGGACAAGGCCTTGCCCAGGTCGAGCTTTGAGGTACCGAAGGGTTTGGAGAGCAGCTTCCCAGTGTTCCTGTCGTGAACTCGCCATGAATTGTGACAAGATGTGAACGGCATAAGTCAGGTCTGGCCGTGTTATGGTGAGGTAGATAAGACGTCCAACCAACCGTCGGTACTGAGAGGGGTCATAAAGGAGAGGACCATCGGCAAGGGCAAGACGATGATTGGCAGGAAGCGGAGTGGAGGCCGGACGGTAGCCCAAGTGTCCAGTGTCAGCAAGGATATCGAGTGCATATTTGCGTTGAGATAAGAAGATCCCGTCAGAGTTACGCGCCACCTCGACGCCTAGAAAATATTTCAACAAGCCAAGGTCCTTCATGTGAAAGCATTCAGACAAATAATTTTTGAACTTAGAGATAAAAGCTTCATCATTTTCGGCAAGTACCAAGTCATCCACATATATAAGAACGCAGAGCTCCACGTGACCACGGACGAGGGTGAACAAGGAATAGTCCGCCTTGGACTGGACGAAGCCATATGCACGAAGAGCGTTGGTGAGTTTAGAGAACCAACAACGGGGGGCTTGACGAAGCCCAAAAAGAGATTTGTGCAAGCGACAAACCATGCCTTGTCTTCTAGAGGCGAACCCTGGGGGAAGCTGCATATACACCTCGTCTTGGAGATCTCCATGAAGAAGTGCATTGTGGACGTCCATTTGGTGAAGACTCCATCGCTTTATGGCTGCCACGGCTAGTAGAGCCCAGACGGACACAAGTTTGGCAGTGGGGGCAAACATCTCTTTGTAGTCAATACCTTCCTTCTGTCGGTTGCCCAGAATAACCAGCCGAGCTTTATAGCGTTCAATACTGCCATCAGATTTGTGTTTAATCTTGCATACCCACTTCGACCCGATCGCCTTTTTATGAGGAGGAAGGGGGACCAGCGACCAAGTGCCATTAGCGGCAAGTGCCTCCAACTCGTCCTTCATGGCCGCCCGCCATTGTGGATGTTTGACAGCCTCTTTAAAGCTAGTGGGTTCCTCATCTGCAGTAATTGCTGCCAAAAAACTTCTGTGTGTAGGAGAAAAATTATCACAGTTAACAAATTTAGTAATGCAGTGTGCCGTACTTGAGGTGGGGATCGGAGTGTCGGAGCAAACTGGTGTACTATATACCGTGTGCATGACAAAATCACGGAGGTGTGACGGGGGACGACGATCACGTTGACTTCGGCGACTTGGTTCCCCATCTGGAGGAATGTCATGATTTGGTGGGTGAGGGGGTTCGGAGAGAGTGGTGGGCTGGGGTTTGGGTGGACTAGAGGTTGGAAGGGTGGTAGTTTCGGGTGATGATGTGGATTGTAGGATTTTGGGTGGTGTAGGGGGGCGGCTGAGGTTTGGGTTTTGTGGCATAGGGTGTTGGAAGGCAGGCAGGTCGTCATCGACGAACTCGTCCGCCGGTGGCAGGGCGGGGGTTTGGGGCTGGTCCAATTGGACGAACGGGAAGGAGTGCTCAACGAATTTAACATCACGACTTACAAAGATTTGGTGGGTTTCAAGATCTTGCAATCGCCATCCCTTTTGACCAAAAGGATACCCCAAAAACAGACAGCGACGTGAACGACTGGCAAACTTGTCCCCATGCGTTGCTTGATTGTGTGCATACGCAAGGCAACCAAAAGTACGTAGGTGAGCGTAGGATGGTTCTTGACCAAAAAGGATAGTATATGGAGTTTTACCTTGTAAGAGAGGTGTGGGTGTACGATTGATGAGATATGCTGCAGTAAGGACACAATCAACCCAGTACGGTATAGGAAGGTTGGCTTGGAACCGGAGAGCTCGTGCAACATTGAGGATATGTCTATGTTTGCGTTCAACCCTCCCATTCTGTTGGGGAGTGCATGCCGACGCATGAGGACTCAAATATGATCCCTTGAGAGGCAAAGTATGGTTTCATGCACGTGAACTCCATTCCGTTGTCACTACGGAGGGTTTTAACTTGAGCATTAAACTGACGCTGAACAAAAGAGAAGAAATTGTGCAAGACAGTGGACACCTCATCCTTGTGATTTAAGAGATACACCCAGGTTGCCCTTGAAAAATCATCAACAATGGTCAAAAAATATTTGGCACCAATACGTGATGGTGTACGGTACCCCCCCATAGATCACAATGTATTATTTTAAAAGGAACATCTGATTTATTCAAACTGATGGGAAAAGAATCACGACATTGTTTAGCCCGAAGGCATACATCACAAGGTAAAACATTTTGAGAAGACGAAGAAGAACAAAAAGGTAGAAAACGACAAATCTCTGGAGAGGGATGACCAAGCCGTTGATGCCATACGGTGAAATCCGTCGCTGCTCGCACGGCACACGCCCTATCATGCACTCCCGGAATAAGATAGTAAAGACCAGCAGCTTGCTCACCCGTTCCAATCACCATCCTCGAGGTACAGTCCTGTATTATGCAAAATTTGTTAGTAAACTGGACAATTATTCTTTCCTTTCCAAGAAGACAGAAATTAGATTGCAGTTGAGTTTAGGCACTAGCAAAACATCCGTTAGTGTTAAAAATTTATTTAACACGACATCTCCCACTTGCGCAGCTTCTGCACTTTCTCCATTGGGTAGTCTAACTTTGCATTCTTTGATACTTCGTATGTTCATCAATCTGCGTCTATCTCCAGTCATATGTTGGCTAGCCCCGCTGTCTATAATCCAAGAACCATTGGTCATACCTGAAAATTGATTTTCACACTGCACGACAGTCTGACCCGCGAAGGTTCCCTCGGCTGGTTTATCTCTTGTCTGGTCCGTTCTTTCTGTTGCTCGGCTTCCAGTGCCGCGTCCGGCAGTGACGCCACCTCTCTTGCCACGTCTGCCCGGTTGTACGCCACCACCGCGACTGCCTCCACGGCCGCATCCCTGCATGCGAGGTCTATCTGCCCACCACTCCGGATGATCTGGAAGCAACCACTTATTTCATGTCCTGTTTGTCCACAATGCTTGCATTTAAGATTATTGTCCCGAGTCGATCTACCGGCAGCCGCGGCGAATCCTACTGGGTTTCGTTCCCCTTCGGTTGTTAGCTTTAAAACTCCTTCTTGTTGAGTTATCACGGAGTAAACTCTATTGATAGAGGGGAGAGGCTCCGTGCTAAGAATATTGGAGCGGAGGCTTCCATATCCTTCATTATCGAGTCCCATCAAAAATTGATGGACTTTTTCTTCGTCACGTTGTTTCTCCAACAAAGCGGTGAGGCCACACTTGCATCCTCCACACTTGCAAATCGGCACTTTCAACATATTATAAAGCTCATCCCAGATCGCTTTCAGTTTTCCATAATGTTTAACGATCTCCTGGCCGTTTTGCTTGGTGTTGGCGAGTTCCTTCTTCAATTGGTGGATGCGCGGACCATTCGCCACGGAGAATCTGGCCTTTATGTCGTTCCACAAATCTGCGGCGACCTCTACTTGTGTGATAGAGTTCCGCAGATCCGTCTCGATGGTCATGTTATAGATCCATGAAACGAGCATCGCGTTCACGATCCACCATTCCTCAATTTCGTCGGCGTCATGTAACGACCCAAAACTCGGCTTAGTAGTTAGCCGTCATTTTAATAAAAATAAATATAATATTTATTTACTCTAAAATATGAATTATTTGTAAAGTTATCGATTTTATATGAAAATTGGGTTTTCAGGTAGATCTCGTAAAATGGTGACCAACGATATATAATTTGTTAAATTTGGACATATGTATAAAGCATGGTGAGTAAAATAGACATTACAGTTCAATAAAGAAATATAAAGATTTTATAATATAATATACTCCCTCCGTCCCATGAAACATGGGACATTTGCTTTTTAGGAGGGATTTAAAGGAGTGTATTTTGGTATTGAATTTCCAAAAATGACCTTTGATGTGATGGGTAAAAGTATGATTTGATGGATAGATTATTAATAAAAAGGTATGATGTGATAGTTTGGGTATGAAAAAGTAAGGGGTAAAAGTGACTTTTTGATAGAAATGAGAAGAGTTTTGTGAGACGGATAAAAAAAGAAAGGGGAAAGGTTTCACGGGACGGAGGTAGTATATAATAACCTAATCCTACCCACACCCGTAAACCCCTTTTCCCTAAATACATACGGAGTATATATATATATATATATATATACACACACACACACACACACACACACATACACACACACACACACACACATATGCGCTCTACACACACGCACGGAAGAAAAGAAAATAAAAGAACGAGAAGGGGGCCGAAAGAACATATCGCGGGACGGAACCGGAGCACGCCGCCGCTGTTTGCCGGAGTCCGGAGGAGCTGGACGCCGCGGGATAGCCGCTGCTCTACCGCCGAGTTGCTGAAGTCCTCTTTGAATATTTGATTAGTTTAATTCTCCAATTAATCAAGGTCTGAACTTGCACATCTAACGCTAGATTTCGTATATAGATTTTAAATTCACGTTCGTAGTTTCGTATGATTGATTACGTGGTTTATTTGTTTATAATTGAATTATGATTTATTCATATTTTATGATGATATTGGAATTGATTGAACGAGAAGGACGAGGTACGTATTTCTACTCTAAGTTGTGTGATTTGCATGATTATAATCTTTAAAAACATTATATGTATCAAATGATTTGGAATAGGATAGAAATCTGCTGAATTGTACACTCCCAATGCCGGACGGTAGCCCGGTACCGTTCTAACGGTACCCAGCTACCGCCTCAGGCTCGTTGCTGTTGCCGGTACTTATGTGAGACGGTCGGATGGTACCGTAATGGCGGTCCTGAGGTACCATGACGGGTACAGTACCGGCAGCTGCAAATCTTCGTTGTTTGACTGTTTGACCCGATTTAGAACCCGAATTGACTCTGAGCCTTTATGTGTTGCATGACGGTAAATGTAAGGTGTTTACACCCGACATTAGGCCGCTATTTGGATTTCATGATGATTTAGTTGGTTAATTCTGTTCTCTTGATTTGTTGTAAATGTGGTGTGATATGCCTTTAACGAATAAAGTAAATTGAGGTTATTGTTAGCTTGGATCTATATAATTGAAGTTAATGAGTTAGGTTACCTAGATGAACTATAGGATTACTTTGTGAGAATTGAGATTGTGAGTTGACATTAGGTGTAGAGCCTTGTGGACTTGGTCCAGTGGCATTCGGGTAAAGATGTACGTACATGGAATCTGGGATCTGATCCGTAGGATTGGAGGTTCCACCCAACCGGCGCCGTAGGTACCGGGTTGACCAGAATCATGGTCGTAGGTAGTGGTTCTGATGTCATAGAATAGACTTTGAGTCATGGCCGTAGGTAGTGGCTCTAAGTCCTAAGATAAGAATGTGGATAATGAGTAATTGGCCTTAGCCTAGAATAGGTTATGAGCTAGTGTTGGATATGAATTAATGTAATGACCTGAATGTTGACTTCTGCAAACGAAGAATAAAGGTAGGTGATCTAAACTATGTTATTATAATATAGTTGTTTTATCTGATAATTGTTATGTGATATAATTACTGTTGAACTTGTGTGCTTGATATTGTATGAAGTTATGAGCTAGTGGGTTCGTCTATGTGCGTAGTCGAAACGTTAGATAGATTCCACTCAGCTTCAATGCTGAGAGTGTAGCCCTTTTTCCTATTTGCTACACGTAAGAAACAGGAACGATGAATAATGAGACGATTTTGGAGGCAGCGAGGGCGAAGAGATGGATGGATGCTAGCTGGAGGAGTTTATTATTTAATATTTAAGTTTGAATTATTATATTTTTAAGGGCAAGAACCCAAAGTTGTATTTTGATCAAGTACTTAAAGGCTTCCGCAACCGTTTTGATTTACTCTGATGGATATTTAAATATTGTTTTGAATTAAATGTTTTTAAATTGTTTTGGAAAATTATTGTGTTTGAATGCCAATTTAGTAGCAACCCGATCCGCTGGTCCTTGTATTCGGGTCACGCGGGTTGGGGTGTTACATTTTGGTATCAGAGCAATTGGTTTTAAACCCGGTCTTCGGACTCTTTCAAAAATAGGCTTTCAAAAAAAAATTCAAAAAAAATGTTGTAAGGTACTTCAGCAGCAGCATCCGCATCTCTCGCAACTTCTCTGCCTCAGGAAGGTAATTAAAGTTGATTATTTGTTTACTATGAGTTAGCATTTAATTAGGAAAGTTGATCTATATAAAATGAGCGAAGCTTCGAACAACCAAATCGAGACCCATGACATGGAACAAAACGCGGAGGCTCAGCAGGACCCGGTTATGCCTGCGTTCTTGACGCAATTTCTGCAGCAAATGGCGAACGCGCGAATGTTCCAGCCACCGCCTCCACCGCCTCCTAGGCAAATCACATTGAAAATGCTGAAGGACAATGGTGCTGAAGAGTTCCATGGGAATAGGATCTCTGATCCCCAGATTGCACTAGACTGGATTGAACAGACAGAAAGAGTGTTGAAGAATCTGAGTGTTCCAGACGCGAGACGTCCTGAGCTTGCTTTCCTGCTCCTTCGTAAGGGAGCATACGAGTGGTGGAAGCGCGTAGATGAGAAAGCACCTAAGCCTTGGACATGGGAGCATTTTGATTGGGCATTCAAGAAGGAGTACATACCAGCTCGCTTCAGAGAGGAGAAATGCACGGAGTTTATGGAACTAAAGCAAGGAGACATGACTCTCCCCGAGCTTCGACAAAAGTTCAATCACCTAGCTCAGTTTCCGACTACGCTGGTATCCACGCCGGCAGATCGTATTGAAGAATTTTGTAAGAGGCTGCGTCCCGACATTCGGCCATATGTATCCACCCTAACCACTACAGACTTCTCTAAGGCTTACGATCTAATGGCTAAGGCTGAAAAAGACGTTGACGACTATAAGGCTAGTCTGAAGGCCGAAGAGGCAGGACCAAGTATGCACCCCACTACTCATCCCGCACCTTTAGGAGCTGTAAATCCAGTTTTTGCAGAGGACTCTCTCTTTGGTTCAGTCCGCCAGGTTGCAGAAAACGAGGGAGATAGCATTTGTGTTAATCTTCCTCTTAGAACTAGTTCGAGTAGCAATGTCTCCCAAGGAGACAAGGATATTGTTCTGGAACAGACCCAATTTGTTGAAGGAACTGTCACAGAGGCAATCGATAAGCCAGAATCTGTTGAGAGTCGAGGGAACTCTAACATTTCTTCTTGCTCCTTGGTGAACGAGGGTGCTTATATTGATTCCCTGAAAGGAAGGAAGGCAGTAGCAGGTAGGCATGATCAAGTTCATAAGCTCCTTTCCCCCTTTGCAAAGGAATTTATCCCCCAATCCAACTCTTTTAGCACTCTTTCGCATCTTGGAACAGAAGAAAATGTTTTGGTTATGGAGGAAGATCCTTTCAAACATTTAAATGAAAAAAATTTGGTTCTTCATTTTAATGCTCTTGAAGAGAGAATATCCCTAAGTGATGAACCCATTTGGTACAACCATTCGGATGATGAAGATGCCCCATTCTTTGTGTCAAAATTAAGGCCTTTAGCAATCGATCTTTCTAGATGCTCGAAAATCTCTATGGATTTACCAAAAGTCTTTAAACGAAGGAAACTCTTCTCTCCCTCGCAGATTGTTACACGTAGTAAAGCCAAGGTTCTCTCCTCGTGCAAGAGCATTCTCCCTTCGGCCAAGTATGTATCATAATCTGATGATAATTTTGTTAGTGAATTTGAAGGTACTCTTGATAATATCTACCGACCGATTAAAGGTCAAGAACAGTTAGACTTTTCTCTACAAGCCCCTAAAACAAAAAAGAAAGGGAGGCAGCGTACAAAAGCTCAAAAGAAGAAGAAGAAGACTATGCAATGACTCCTTCAATTTGATTGAAGATTTTGTCTGGCTTATATAATTGGTTTTCATATATGCTGCACTCGTTTACTATGGGTCTTTCTGTTGATTACTGAATATCTTGAAGCTTTGCCTACTCATGGGTGCCTTTTGTTAGTATGGAGAATCTCAAAACTTTGTTCAGTAACTTGATGTTACAAGAACCATATTGGCTGCGAATTATCTGGCTTAAAAATGATATTCACACTTTAAGACTCGTATAAGTCTTGGTTCGCAGTAAGGTGAGTCCCAGTTGCGCTGATTTGCTTGGCTCTGGAGAAGCACTGTTGTTGGTGACAGCTCGTACCCTGGCCTACTTGGTTTTGACAGAAACTGTCTCGTTTTCACAGCATCATGTTTATTTTCTTTGGATGGATATCACCAACACTCATATTTTTGTTTGAACACAAAATGGATAGGGACCAGAATGGCAGGGGGAATTAAAGCTGATACTGCATCTTTGTCTTCTATTGTTTGAAGTTTAGCCTCTTGTATTATGTTTTTGAGCTGACATCCCCCTTCACTATCCAGTTTCCCTTATCATGGGAGGGTTGTACCACATAACCCTGCACAAAGCTTAAAGGTTGTAGACTCAAACATGGAGGCTTTTTCACCTGCGCTTGGGAGTTCATTTCTCAAAACTTCTCTTGGAAGAACTCTACATTATTGAAGTGTGGATCTGGACTCTGGAGGCTGCCACCCTTTGGCTACTGGAGACAACCATAGTGGGTTAAGTCCTACACTCTGTTAGAATTTGCTGTGAAGTTTGGGTCAAGTAGATGAAGATGTTTTGGGTGTTGTCCTTTGTGCTGTGCCCGTCACCGTTTTGTTTAGACCCTTTTGGTCTTTTATTTGCTTTTGCATTTACCTTTCTTCTTGGCCTTTTGTCGGGGTTGGCCACCCCGCCTCCTGTACTTTTCTTCTTTGTAATAAAATCTTTTTAAATAATATATATATATATATATATATATTTATTGAATGGAAAAGAAAAGTACAATGAAAAGTACAAAGAAGAAGGGTGGCCAAACCCGAACAAAGCCCAAATCTAGAAGAACTTGGATCCAACCCCTAATGGGCCGTCCAAATAAAGACTACAAAAGAAGAAGAGATTTATAGGAAATCTACACAATCATAATCTTCTTCAAAGTGTTCATATAACTCAGAGATTTTAGCTTTGAGAGCTATGTGAGCCTCCGCTGCCCGAGCCTTTTTTATTTTCGTCTTCGCCTTCTTTTTCTGATTTTTGGTAAGTTTCGGTTGGGGGCTTTGAGGAACCGGGGCAGGTGCACAGGTCTTCTTAGTTTGAATGGTTGGACAGCTTCTTTTGAAGGCAGAATGAATACCGTCAAACAAGGACTCTTCATCATCGTCCGAGGTGTCAACTCCCCTAATGGGAGCTTTTCTCCTTCCTTCGGCTAGTTGCCTAGCCCTGCTCATGGTGACCATATGTGACGGTGATGAAGTTGTCTTTCCTTTGATTAATTTTGGGAATGACATTGAGACTGTGGAGCTGCTGGGGATGCTGAATCTACAAGGTTCAAGCTTTGAGTCATTCAAAGCTATTGACTCACCTTCAGAGTGAGTATAAAGAGCCGGCTCTCCACTATAAGGGGCCACATCCTCGAGGGCATAAAGCTTCAGCAACCTAGAGGTAGAAAAGCAATTTAATAAGTCAATCTTGTCTCTATCTCCATTTAAAGATTGTTCCACTGGCGGTTCCTCACTGTCTTGGCATGTCTCCAGAATCCGGAATGAGTTATAAGAGGAGGGGATGAAAGGAGGGGCTGTTGGGGAAAGTGGGCGGGGAGGTTCAGATTGAGTTCCTCTTACCCTAGAAGCCGGGAATCCTGGAGCTATCTGTGTTAGTGCTTTCCCTGAAAGTGATCTCTCCCTGGCGGAAAAGGGTGTGTTAGTGTTAGCATTGTAAAATTCAGCATGTGAGAGAGGCCCAATGTCCATTGCAAGCAAACTTTTTGAGCAAGTGTCTTGGTCAAAAATCATACGGTCATAACTACATAGCCCTGGGAATTCACCATCGCAAGGTGTAGGAAGATTGGGGGTTTCACTTTCCCAACAGAGCAAGGATGTGGTTAAAGAGATATCCAAGTTGTATGGCTTGTGAACACTAGGGAGCCATTCTCCCCGACTGGTTGCGTAATCCCGGGATTCTGCTATAGACAGGTTTCCGTAGGTGTTCTGCTGGTCTGCAAACTGGAAAGTCCTTGGAGTGACACTGGATTTTTGCTTGTCTGTTGTGCTGATGTTCTGCCGCGGGTGTAGTGGAGATCGGTTGTTCTCTTCATTCCCAGTTGGAAGGTCCTTGGATGGCTTGGTACTAATGTTCTGCTTCGCCGAGCTACTGCTACAGAAAGATTGAAGGTTGGAGATGAATTTCCTTAACAAAAGGTTGTTCATACCTCTTGGCAATGAGATTGACCGAGTGCCCTCCATTCTAGATTCAGAGATACTTATGAAATCAGATTCCCTACCCACTTTCAAAGTCCTCTTCTCAGTAATTCTTGAGAAAACCCAACATGGTTCAAAAGAGATTTTTAAGAGGCATTCCACCAACCAACTAAGTAAATCAGAGTCAAGCCAAATAATACAATTTCTCTTTCCTTCAACAGAGACACAGTAAGTTTGATTGTAAAAGGAATGGAAGAGAGTAAAAGTGTCATGACCTAGGGTGAGAGACGCCTGAAGATTGGCCGTCTGCTGGGAATTCGTACGGTATTCCAGAAGGTTGCTGTGGATGAAGTCTGAAGGTCTGGAGGTACTGTCAAATCTCTGATTGGTGCTTGTGTTTTTTCGCCAATATGTTGATAGGGTTCCCGGATTGGGCTCCTCCATCCTTGAATTGAGCGCCGACCTGAGCTTCTACGCCGATTGGCACCTCGGATTGGGAGCCAATAGTCATCTCTGTTAGGCAATGAATTCTTACCTCCATTAGACGATAAACCCGGATCGAAGGGGTGAGTCCGGTAGCGGCTTCGTACGTTCAGATACAGATCAGGGGAGGCTCTTCGAAATCCATCTGAGATTCTTCGGTGTGATGATTGTCGTTGAGAGGGAGCTAATCGGAAGGAATAGCGATTTGGTCGGCGGTGATAGTCGCCCCTCGCCCCTCTCTCTCTAGGAAAATCCAGTATATATATATATATATATATATATATATATATATATATATATATATATATATATATATATATATATATATATATATATATATATCATGTTAAGGCTTAGAAGCCAATGGTATTTAAAGTATAGAGCTTTTGATTTGGGCTATGCTGCTTATGGTGGAATTCTATTGGTATTCACTTAGCTGCAATTTTGAGCTCGTAGTGGGTAATGCAAGGTTTTTTTGGAATTGATTTTACGGGAACCTCTGCAATGAGAACCTCTCTAATGGATTTCGTTCTGCTATACTTTGGGAAGGATCACCTGTAGACTGGCCAGGCTTCTTCATATGGCAGGTGACAAAATTTTCAGGTCGAAGAGGACGAAGGCTAGTAGGAAGATGTATTTACTCCTAGCTGTGGATTTCTGGGCACCTCTTTGTGAGAGACATGTTGGGCTGTTCTCTTTTAGAGGAAGTTGAAATATACTGGGTTGTTTTTTGACCCTTAAGAGGAAGTTGTTTTTGCTGTTTACTTCTTTTGGTTTCCATTTGGTTTCTTCTGTTATGCTTTTCGGTTTGATGGACTGGCCTTTTGTTGGGATTGGCCACCCCACCCCTTGTACTTTTCTCATGTTGAATAAATTTTTATTTATATATATATATATATATATATATATAGAACGTTTAGAATAATTAGTTGAAGACTGCGTTGGAAAAATAATTGGCATTGCAGAATTAACCAAAAAACTATAGAGAATCAAAAAATGTTGGAGAAGATGATAAAGAGGTCACCTTCATTCCTATTGCCACGGCTAGGGGTTGGCAAGAATCTTGAAACCATTGTCCCGACACAAAATATCTCTGTCTCGTCCCTATAATATTTCGTTTTGCTAGGGATGATAAAAAATTTTCCCAAATCTGTTCTGAACCATTTTAAAACGGGACAAAACTAGGACACATAAATATTTTCTTATTCCATCCCATTGCCCCGTTTACATGTATATATCTATAAAAAATAAAAAATGTATATATCTATTCATTTATATAATGATATACACAACACATATCGTGATTTTGTTGTTCCCAAAATAGATATAAAAAATATCCATATTAAAAAAATTAAAAAAATGGACTAAGAACGAAATACCTAAAACTCTAAACTATTCTAACTCGACCAACCGTAATTTATGCTCATAGTTTTTATGAAGCTTATAGTCTAGACTTTTGATGTATGTTGTGACGTTTTTTCATGTTTCAATTCCTTATTGTTTTAGCTTTTTTAAAATATTCTAAATAAATATAACATTTTTTCATTACTTCTGAAATCAAAATGAGTTGCCTCCGCCTTATGTATTTTATATTTTTATATCTAATTTTGGATAATGAAAGAGTAGGACAACCTGAGCTCGTTCCATTTTATTCTGATCTTGAATATTAAAGGACAAAGAGGGATAAGCTTGTGACCCAAATTGTTTGAAAAACACACTAGTATCACACCCGTGCGTTGCACGGGTCATAGTTACGGTACTAAATTAAGATCATTTTTAGGAATATAAATTGGTATATAATGAAATATAGAAATTTCATTATTTTAAAGAACAAAAGTAAAATGATTTACAAATTTTGAAAGACTTATTTATAAACAACATCACTCGTATAATTCCTGTGAGCATTCACTTCGTTGTATATCAGAATCTTCAAGTCATTGTGATTTATTACTCTTGAAACTGCAACAAACACTTGCCAATGACTAAATACCGGTTTCCGTAATAACAATAATTCAACATATTTTAGATATTGTCTCTGACAATAATTCGATAATTTGACTTATTTAAATAATAATTCAACATATTAATGTATCTATTTTGGAATTTGTATTTTTTAGTTTTATTTTCGTATTTAAATGATACCATTTACTTACCTATGGTATTTATTTTCTATTTTATTTTAGATCACTTACGATTTTTACACTTTTCCGTGCTTGTAAATTATAGAATTAATATTATTAATTTTAGAATACTTACCATTGTTACATATTTTAATGCTTATAGTATTAATACTATTAATTTATAATTTTTTTATTTTTGCATTTAAATGGTACCATTTACTTAATGTACCATATTTATCTTTAAATTTATTTTATAACACTTACCATTTTAACATGTTTCCATGCTTGTAAATTGTATTATTAATTGATAGTAAAAATTTTCCGTTTTCTATTTTACCAAATTTGTTTCGTCAAATTTATTTTACCAAATTTTATTAATAATTGAATCAAAGTATGAGTGACGTACCATTTTAACATGTTTCCATGCTAAAAATTTTTATTAATAATTGAATCTGCCCAAATTTGTTTAATGTTCAACATCTCTACCATTAATAATTTTTTATTAACATTTTTGTACATAGGTTAAAAATGTACATTACTCTATACGTATTTTCTTATTTTCATTACTCTATATCTTTTTTTATTGCTCTATACGTATTTTTTATTACCGTTTTTAATTACCATTTTCAAATGAAATAAGTTATTAGAAATTATTACATATATATTAGTAAATATAATTAAATACAATTATTACCATTCGTATAAACTGGTTAAAAAAAGGATTAATTTATTAACGGTATGGATTTTTCGTTTATATTTTAATTTTTAATTTCGTTTATGCAAGTTATGGTATGAAGAATCTGTCCAAATTTGTTTCACTGCATTAATGTTCAACATCTATACGTGTTAAAAATTTACATTATTCTATACGTATTGTCCTATTTTTATTACTCTATACATATTTTTATTACTCTATACGTATTTTTATTTCCGTTTTTAATTACCATTTTTAAATGAAATAAGTTATTAGATATTATTACATATATATTAGTAAATATAATTAAATAAAATTATTACCATTCGTATAAACTGGTTAAAAAGGATTGATTTATTAACGGTAAGTGTAATTATGTTTGAATATTTTATTATTGCTTACTTTTTTACAATTAGAATACTCGTTTGAATATTTTATTATTACTTTAAATATTTTATTATTACTTAATTTTTTACAATTAGAACACTTAAGAATTTGAATATTTTATTATTACTTTAAATTACTTATCATTTTAAATGAGTAATTACTTAATTACGGTAACTCCATTAATGACCCGTGTAATTCCATTTTAATTGAGTAATTACCATATGGAGTGAACAATTACCATTTTTGGTTGAACACCGAATGAGCGGGAAAATGAAATTGAGAATCCATGGCTTTTTAAATAAAGTATGGATTTCCATTCTTACCTTTTTAGCTTAGTACTTTTATTGCTATTTCAACGTAATACATGCATAACAAAAATAATATATTTATATAAAAATATTCAACCGTTTAACAATTATAAATTATTAAATCTATTTCAATATTATTAAACATGGAAACTTGATATATTTTTAAAAATTCCATAATGTAATACGTCATATGCACATTTATTATTAATCATTACACATGTAAACATTAATCTGTATTAATTATTAAGCATAATTATACATGGAAACGTTCCAAAGATGAATAATGACCGTGGATCAAGATTCTGATGCTAATAGACGGTTCATAACGTAGGTGCGTTTGGGCGGGAAAAATTTCCCCTGCTTTTAAGAATATGTAGATAGATAATAAAAAGCGCGATGGTATAAAACCCGAACCGTCCCGACCCGTGTCCATCCCTAGCCACGGTCAGCAGTGCCCCCTGTTGCCGTGGCATCCTCTGGAACCGCCACCATGGTTCATTCCGCACCCTGGGTTTAAGACATTTAAGAGATCTCCCCACAAGTTCAAAAGATCTGCTCTTCTCATGTCCGTTTAACCTAGAGTGTTTGCATTTCAAATCCTTATTCGAATCACGATCAAATTTAGAACTAACATCAAAACTTACCAAGTTTCATTCTTCTTCCTATGTTGCATGGTCAAGTAGATACGGTTCGATTGTGCCAAGGGTTCAACGCTTATAATATTTGATCTGAGACTTCCATAACCTTCGTTGTCCAGTCCCATCAAGAACCGGTGCACTTTCTCTTTATGTCGTTGCATTGCAAGAGCCTTGCTTATGCCACATTTGCATCCATGAAGCTTTCACGTAGGAATGTTTTTATGATCATTGAGTTCATCGCATATCCCTTTGATTTTCCAAAGTATGTAAGAACTGCCCGTTTTGTTACAATTTGCAACCTCTTTCTTCAAATGATGAATTCACGGGCCATTTGTAACAGAAAGCAGTCATTTACATATGTCCAGAGTTCCGTAAGCCCCTCAACCTTCGTGATTGAATTTCAGAAGCTTCCATCAATGGTTTTGTAAATCCAGGAAACTAACATGACACTCAGAATTCACCACTATTCATTATTTTTGCTTCCCTCTTTAGGACAAGGGATAACTCCATCAATCAATCCAATTTTTTCTTTAGCACGAAGTTAAATCTTCATTGCTCGAGCTCACTCTTCCTAATTATCACCATTTAATTTAACTTGAGTGATAATTAATCAGTGTGTATCCACAATTTTAAGTTCGTATGAACTTCTGTCATATTGGAAACGATAGAAGTAGTCAGACTTAGGGTTTGAAATTTCTTAACTTCAGGTGCTCTGGTACCGCATGTAAAAATAATAAGAGAAAAAATATTATTTATATTGAATTAGCTAGGAGAATGTAACGCCCCAAAATCACACCTATTAGAATTAATTAATTAAGAATAATTAATTAATTATTGAGACAAACCCGGGGTTTTATTTGAATATTTGTTAATAAAATATAAAAATTATATCGTTGTGTAGGGTTTGACGAGACGAGTCCAACGGTGAAAACAAACTTGGATTTGGAGTAAGTGGGCCCAAAAAGTGTAATTTAATCGAGGTACATTAGTTTAATTATGCAGCCCACAACCCCAAACCTATAAACACCCCCATATGCCTAACCTCCACACACGCACGCTGTATCACTCTCTCACGTTACTCAT